CTGTACTCTTCTGATGAAGGAAACTTCAGCCTGTTTTAGAGATCAAAATTTGCAGCACATGAAAGCATTTAACACCCAAGTAGGTGGCTAATCAGCCTACAGAAGGTGAATTTTGATACTACGCTTAAAAGATGCGAGTGGAGGAAGGAGTAGAGGCTGAAATGCCACCCGCCGATGCTGGGAGTCAGGACACACCAATCACGGTCTCTGCGGTGTGGCCCCGATGGCAGGAGACCAGAGTCCCCACAGAGCAGCTGCCAAGATCCTCTTCTGGGGGCCCATTCTGCTGGGGATGGGGTGAGGGATAAAACTGTTAAAAACTAATTTGACCTTTTAAAGGCTTTTGGAAAGAATAACGTATGTGTTACTTCTTAAACCGGAATAGAGGGTTAAGAATGGATCATTGAAAAGAGGGTCAGGAACTGCAGTGATACAGCAAACATGTGGCCATTAGGTATGGTGATTAGACCATTTCTATTCTTTCAGTTCCCAGCTACGATGTCTGTGAGTATAACCAGCCACTCAGCTGTGGTAACCCATACAAGGCACATATTCTTCACATTCCTTTTCCTCCTTTTAAAAGCCTCTCGACACACCTGTGGGCTACACCGTATCATTCAGAAGCAAAGCGTACAGGCTTCCTAGAACCTGATGCTGATGTGTGCCGCCCTCTGTGCATACCTCAGATGCTCAGTCATCCAGGGCCAAAGAGGAACGAACTTCTAGGGCAGAATTAACACAGACGGACAGGGCACAGACTGGGAAGCTCCCACATCTGTGTGAGAAGCCAAGCCAGGAAGACATGGGTGGAGTTTTTTACATAATAAAAAAAGCTCAACCAAACCAAACCAAACCAGAAATAACACTTTGAGAACTGATAGTCTACACATTTAAATTTAAGATTCATGTCTTGTGTAATACATACTGCACAAAAGCAACGAGAGGGTCCAATTAGAATTGAAGGGAAAATGTGGGCTTTTCACAGCTTGTTTTGAGATGTTAGAGCATATGCTTTCTGATGTCAAGGGAAGAGAGAGTGCTTGCATGCTGACAAATCAATAATAAATTCAGTCTTAAGCAATGATACTTTAAATTAATTAACTTCTGTGCTATATATCCTTCGGACTCTCTTGCTCCCTTCTATTTTAACTGCCATCAAGAAAGGGACAAAGTACAACAAAAACCTGGTTAACAAAAAAATATACTGTAGATCTCTTCTTAGCTTCTGGGCATAGGAGTAAATTTATGACCGATTTAATACTAACTTGAGAGTAACTAAGCCCAATTATAATTATCTTTCTGGGAAGAGAAATTAATTAAACATCCAGTGGTAAAGACCCCACAGCAAACCTAGAATACACACACAACTAGAGATGGGCAGGGGCCTGAAATAAAGGAGAAGGGAAAGGCAGTATTTAGCCCATCTGTTTGGACAGTAATGGGACGAGGTAATCTCTCCATAGAACACAGAGTGCCTTACACTGGAAATGAGACTACCTGGCGGGCAGTGTCAGCCGCGTCCCTAATGCTCCTCTTCAACTTTGTGATTTGCTAATGTGAAACACATGTCTCCCTTTTGCACCAAGTTCCAATGATTCTGGAATTCCAACCGAGCAGCTCAGCGACTGAACCAGAACAAGGGGAGAACTTGTCAGGATTTAAGAGCTTTCAGCAAAGCCCTTCAATTGCAGCCAGCACCCTATTCCACGGAAGGATATCAATTATAGATAGTGACTTGCTTTAGCAGGCAGTCGGGACTGTCAGACACGAGATAGACAACCATGAAGAATCATGAATCTTTCTATTAACTGTAAGAGGAGGAAAAAGAATGGGTCATGGCTATAAATAAGGCACAGCACCACAACGGTTTAACAGCTTGCCTCTTGGTTCTATGCAGCATGAAAATTCAACCAAGTTACAAAATGTCCTCTCTCCAAAGAAAGTCATAGGAAGGGGAGCAGTTAATGCTTGCCTCTGTCCCTAAAAAAATGGTTTTTGCAAGTGGTATTATTTCCATCTGCCACCAAAGTAACTAGGTTGACCTGAAGTAGCTATTTGTTCAGTCAACAAAAATAAAGCACTATTGTATACCAGGCCACTGCTGATGCTACCAGGTACACCCATGAGTACGAAGGTACTTGCTTATAGGTCACGAAAAGTAAAATCAGTTTAAACACACAAAGCTGTAATTTCCAGACTTCAGATAACGAGGAAAACGGTAGCAAATAAGTGATATAAGCTAGAATATTTATTTATGTTATTGTAAATTATCATTTTGAATTCACTTAACTAAGTTTATGTACTCAGACTAAAATTAATATCATAAAGGTAACATATTAAATTTCCTTCTAATCCTGACATGAATTTCTTCTAGCTGATTTGAAATAAAAAAATTCCACTGCATATGCATTCATTCATATTTTTACAATAAAGCAGACAACACGGTGGCCATTTAGTTGATCGTTTAAACAGACTGACCTTAAAACTACTCAGATCTACTAAAACACCACCACCATCTAAAATCCTTTGCCACTGAGATTAAATACAAATACCTGCAATATCCACGGTTTTTAAAGATTTCACGTTAAGTAGGCAGCAAAAAGGTTAAGGAATTACCACCATCCAAAAAAATGTTACCTCAAACCTGGTCTCTAACGAGGGGCACAATTCCCATTAAATGGAGACTTAGCATAAGCTCCTACTTCATTCCTCCTCTAATAATGGCTGAGCTATAACCACAGGCCTCCCTAGAAACTGCAACGACTTATCCACAGAAAAGGCACCATGAGACTGCGTCATTGCTCAGAAGGGCACTTTAACAAGCAAGGAGCACTGCCAACATGTCGCTCACGATGGCAGTCTTTATACAAACAACTCTCCTCATTTATGTTGTGCACTCATTATATCACTCGGTATTCCTGGCATACTCGACTCTCTGGGACTATTTCTCTACATTAAAAGAAAACTTCAAAACCTCTTTATCCCCTTTAGTATGACAATGTCTGTGGTTTCCATTAAAACAGTCAGCCAGAATAAAGGGCCATTAAGTCAGGCTTGGCTTAAAAATAACACTTGCATCAAATTAAAGAGAAAAAATAAATTAAGTTCATGGAAAAATCTGGAAATATACTTTAATTACAAACATCTGATTTTCTAGTTTCTTGCTGTGCTGATAAATCTATAATTCTTCCTATGCCTTTATAAGGAGACACAATTAAAAAAGAAATCGAGGGGGGAAACCCTGCTAATGTCATGTTAAATCCTCAGAACACTCTGTGCATAACAGATCGCAAAACCAGCAAACCATATATTTATTTAACACTATGATGTCATGCAGTGTGTGGACCAATACATGACCTGTGAAACATGTGGGAGGTGTGAAGAATTCTGTGATTTTAGTGTTTAAATGGGGGAACATTATCAAGAAATATGGATCACGGGCCAGCTGAGTGGCTCAGTTGGTTAAGAGCTTGCCCAACAGTGCGAGCTCTGAGCAACAGGGTCACTGGTTCGATTCCCACATGGGCCAGTGACGCTGCACCCCGAGCAGAGCTGTCGCTGAGCTGCCAACAGGTGGCAGAAGGGCTCAGCTGGTGAGAGCACGTGCTCCTAACAACAAGGCTGCCGGTTTGAATGGTGGGCTATGCCCACCCACAACTAAAGACTGAAATCAGCACCTTGAGCTGAGCTGCCTCCCGGGTGGCTCAGGTGATAGAGCGCACGCTCTTAACAACAAGGCTGCTGGTTGGACTCCCGCATGGGATGGTGGCTAGGCCCACCCGCAACTAATTGAACACGGCACCTTGAGCTGAGCGGTGCAACTGGACTGGGAGCTGAGCTTGCTGCGCCCTCCACAACTAAGATTGAAGAACAACAACGCGGCTGTACCCCTCCCCCAATTCCCCAACACTGTTCCCCTCCCCCAATCCCCCAATAAAATCTTAAAAAAAAAAAGAAATATGGATCATGTAAAAATAAAAAGTGATTATAAAAGAAAAGAGAATGGAATGTGTGTGGGGGGAGGGTCACAACAGAAGCTGCTCTGTCAGATTTCCTGTCATATTAAAAGCTTACAAAACTGCCACACATAGAAACCATCCTTAATGCCTTAAGGGGACCCTGTCTTTCACCAGAGTGTGTGAGCTACAGCTTTTGATTCTTGCGCATCTAAATGCCCTTCCATCTCAGTTGCTCCCAGTCCCATTTGCCAGGAGACTCCACTGGCCTGAGAGAAAGTGCCACATAAATGAAACCCCGGCAAAGCGCACAGGTTGATGGCAGGGGTGGGGGGTGGGGGGGACTGCCTTATTTGAAAGAATACACAGGGGAGCAACAGGAAACACTTTGGAACCTGATATGGGCAGAGAAGGTGTGCTTGTCCACCTGACCATGCTGCAGTTTTCAAAACTAGACATCATTAAACACATTTTACAATACATATCACTTTTTCCTGTTAGACCTGCAAAGGCTGGCCTCACGTCAAGAAACTGTGCTAATGGCCTGCCCCAAGCATCTACCTGTGTCACACAGAGCACTAACGGCTGTGTGAAACAACGGGAGATTCCTGAGGCCTGAGGGTTTGGGCATGAGGAAGGTGGAACGGAAAAAAGGGATCCCACCTCTACAATTTTTTGTTGTTCCTGGGTCTTGGAAAGGAAACTCAAACTTGGTTAAAAGGTTAATAATAATTCATGTCCAGCTTACTATTACTCAATAACCATCAAAGTCACTAACTCAAAATAGTGTTCTCTGGCTTACAGGATCAGAGTCATTACACTCTCTATTGAAGACTTTATTGAATTTTACACTAAGCTTTAGCTGACTGAACAGGTCAGGCACTGTGGCTCAGAGTTCTCTTTATTCTTGGAAAGTCACAAAGGCCTCTCCAGTTTGCAGCACAGCTAGCTAAGAAACTTGACTCAGCGCAGGGTCAGGGGAGCTGATCCCGCAGAAAGGTCATGGAGTTTAAAGCCGGCAGCTCTGCGGTCCCCTTCACTTACGTGCACCAGCTGTTCCTGGGTGTCAAACTCCCGCGTGCAGCCTTCCCAGTGGCAATTTGTCTCATAGATGACTTCAGGTTCCTGTTTGCTTTCATCTTTGTCCCCTTCCTCCTTTACCAGGGTGGTGCCTTCTGGCTGTTCCTGAAAGACGGGGTGAGGGGGAAAAACTCAGGCACAATAGGAAGAAAGACAAGAATAGAAAGAAAAAACCTGATGTAGATTTATTTTCCTCCTGATGCAATTTTTCACTGAAAATGAAAGAGAGCTCAGGTCTAGCAACTGGGTTTTGTGAATGGAAGAAGTCAAATACGTGGGGTTATCTGTGTGCATTTTTTCAGGTTTACCAAATACATCTTCAGAGATTGTTCACTTGTGATGAAAAACAACAAACCATAACAATGATAAAAAGTTGAGGCCAAATTTTGCTGCCCGAACACAAAGGTGAAAAAAACCTAAAATGTCATCCCGTAAGTGAAGCAAACTGAGTCATGTGGGCTTTACCCAAAAGACTGGTCTTGCCCTTTTGGATTATTTTTCAGTGTATTAAGTTTTCAGTATATTTATTCAGTATCTCACATTTTGGAACCCAGGGAAATGATTGGTAGTAACTCTAATTCTGTTTTTTTCCAGCCACTGGAGGCTGTGATGGGCACTTTGTGAATTTCAGAGGGATGATGTCTTCTTGGTTCAACTTCTGATCTCCAAGGCTACACTCTCTGCCCGAGAACCACGGCATCTAACGTTTGGGGGGTACGGTCTTCCCTAGTCTTCTCGGGCAGTTTTGTAGCAGTTAAAATACAAAGAATTTCTGGAATTCTGGGAGACAATTAGGTGGGTATATTTAAGTTCCATTCTGAGGTTACATGACAAAAACTGTATGTAAGTGTTTAGGTGTAACCAGCAAGGTTGTTGGCGAGCAAAATGCAAGAGGAAGGATGGGTTTCAGAACCCATGACACCCATCCATGCCATCCTCCTGAGATTTGGGGTGATACAGTAAGGCCCGGATTCTGCGGATAGCTGGGCTCCTGTCCAACCCGTTTCTGAGAATTGATACTCATAGACCTCCTACCAGATCAGGCACAGGTACCCCATGAGATGGTATTACGGTATCTACACACCTTTAAACTGAGGCTCAGAGGATCTCAGTGACTAAAGCAGAGACCAGACTGAATTTCTGAACTCCTCCTTTCAGGACTTGGGGTAAAGGACCGGAATGTAGGTCGCCTTGGGTTAGGTGTGCCTCTCTCTCTCCCTGCTCTCCTGGCACATGGGAAGTGGCAAAATAAGGACAAATCACAACATGCTCAGTACACGGAACATTGTCACTAGCTCTGCCCAGCTCAGGCTTAGGGCGAGGAGTTTACAATTTAGCCCAAGATAGGGGCTGAGGACGGAACGTTGGTCACACTGGTGGTCAGTAACAAGCTACTCTGTGAACCAGTTCTTGCCACACGCAGCTTCCTGCATTTTCTGTGTTTGCTTCTGACCTAGAGAAACACATTAAGTAAGACTCTGGAACTGGCCTTTCATTGTCAAGCAGAGCCTGGGCGCCTCACCTGCTGGCCCCGTGGCCCAGGACTGGGGAGGTCGTCGTCCGCCTTGATCTTGGACCGCTTGCTGTGCATCAGGTCACCAGTGCTGCTCACCGCAGACTCACTCGTGGGCTTGTTCTGCCATCACAAACGCAGGGACAGAGAAAAAAATTAGGTTTTGATCAATGAGCACGACCACTGCTAAAACATGCAACTCGAGACAAGCAGGCTTGCCTGACTCGAGAACAATAACTCTGAGAACACTCCACTCCCGTGGCAGTGGGGTTCACGAAATGTGCTCACAGCCAGAAAATACAAACATGCAGCAGCTCCTCGTTTTTACCACATGTAAACTCCCTGTGGCTTTTAAAAGCAAGAGGAATAGAGCTGAGGGCCGGGGCTTTACCCGGCTCCAGTAGTGTACTCAAAAGAACACAGTTGTGAGGTGGGAAGGAAACCCACGTGCACTGTTTGAAAAGTTCTTTAATTAGAGCGCCTGGATCCTTTTCTGAGCATTAGCGGTGCGGAGATAAAAGCAGACAGCAGTGTTATTCTCACTCTGAAGTAGTGCCCGATTCTAAGCACCCGCAGACAGTGACCAAACAAGAGCAACACATCCGTGAACGTATTTCTACTGAATGAGAGTACAGACGGCACCAGGTCAGACGCTGAAGCCTTATCAAGCAGCCCACTTTCCCACAAGGATAAAATGACTGGAGAAGGAGGCTGGTGTTTAAAGAGGAGCATATACACAGCACATTCATCAAGACTGGTGATGACAGCCCTGGTCAGGAAGACAGGCTGCACTATGGAAGCCCTGAGAATCCAAGTTAAGAGCTGGCACATGTGGCATGGGTCTCCTCTACCATTATCAAGGCCGAGCAGCTCACGGAGTGATCTCTCTCACCTGTGAGGACTCGGACGGGCCAGAGCTGACCTGGACGGGGTTCAGAACCGTCGGGATTCCTGGGATTGGCCTCTGTGTTGGGAAGGTCGGAGCAGGATGGAGAAGCGGAGGGCTGTGTCCAAAGGCCGAGCCCAGGCTCTGCTGCCGGCCTAGGATTTGTTGGTGCATATGGAGAGACACAGGTGCGGAAGGGTAGGTGAAACTCAAGGCAGGGCTGCATGGGGGAGAGAAAGGGCAGGAGATCGTCACTGACAGGAACGCAGGGACCCCACGTTTGTAACTTTACACGAAGTTTTACCATCCCAAATCACATCAGCTGTCTGTTTAAATCAGAAGGTAGAAACAATTATTGCCATCTCGAAAACTTCCAAGAGAGAGATGACAAGACACACGTGTGTGCACACATACACAGACCTGAAATAAGATTCAGCAGAACGAAACAAAAGGCATCGGCTCAATAACAGCTATTTATTGCAATAACAAACTTTATATAAAAGGGGATGGGTGATCACAGGCTGTACAGTGCTTTCGTCGGCTCTCAGCCCAGCACTTTCCCGGGCGGGAGCGCTCCCTTAATCTCGGCCACACTGTGCACTTTCATATGTCTCTGGATCTTATTACAAGCGGAAAGAAAATCAATTGGTTAAATGTGTTTTGAACACCATACTTGTCATATCACTCATTTGTTTGCAAAGATGGAAAGCTTGGTTCATCCAGAATGCCACCTAAAGAATTTCCATCAGTGCCGTCTGGTTACAGAAGCTGATGGATTAACCTCTCCTGGGTGAGATCGGTGATCAATGGGCTTTGATGGAGGAAATTCCAATGGGAGAGCACAGCTCGCTCATCCAGCTGAACAGCATTAAATGTCTATTAAAGTCCATTACACATGCTAATGCGCGTCACTGCTGCATCATGCCACAGTCTTCCCAGGCTACAGTAAGTTCTGAGGGGGCTTACCTAAAGATTTCTTAACTATTACACAGTGCCAAATTTGCCAATGGCTTCAAAATGCATGAGAAACTATAAACACTTTCATGAAAATTTTTCTTGAACAATAATCAGTGGAAATACACACACACACACACACACACACACACACACACTTCCCCCACCCTGCTATGTAATACACAGAAAAGAATCACAGTTTCTTGTAATGTCAAAGGTAGAATTCATGGAAATTTCCAATCCGGTGGGTTAATTACGACTGCTGTTAAGCGCATTAATTAAATACAATAATTACAATAACAAAATTCAAACCCTTTCAACAACTTGAAGTAATAATTCCAAAGACATACTCTGTTCATTAATGTGACTCCACATTTTGCCTATTTGACTATAATCCATAAAGGGCGGCTTCAATGGGATTACATTACTATTATTCCTACGGAGAACCCTGCATTACAATAGACTGCCCATTTAAGACTGAATATCATTAAGAATACCCTAGGAGAATTTCCCCAGGCTTGGAGGAACTCTCCTTTCATTCTGCATTGTATTTCCTTAATAAAGGAAAGCAGGAACAAGGTGAAAACAGTCATTGTTCACAGTAAGTTAGGGAGAAATCAGTAATAATATTCCGTTTCTGTGGTGCTATAGTTTCTGCCAGTGTTTCCAAAAGCAACCATGAATGATTACAGCGAGACTTAGCAAAGGTAGCTGTGTGCATGATTGATAGGGCATTAATCAAAAGATGCATATCTGCCTCAGAATTTGTTCACAAGCTTTCTTCTAATAGCTGATTTCATGTTCACTGAGCTCTATGCCAGTTTGTCCAATTTATTTTTCAGTGTAGAAGCCATTCATCAAAAAAACACAATGATTTAACACTCCCCCCCCCCATTTTCTTTTGGTGAATGGGTAGGGTATTACTAAATGTAACTCCCTTATTCTATTCATTAAAAAAACAAACCAAAAGACCCCACTACACATACGTTTACAATGTGACAGGATTTGCAGGAACGTCCATACACCTTTCCAGCTTTCTGAGCTCACATAACCAGGTAGGCTTGGCAGGAGGCCCCTGTGGCTACTTTCATTCCAATTCTAGAATATTTGGGGGCTTAAAACGCCAGGACCTAATTAAGAACCAAGAACACTAAGGGACACATTTCACAAGGCAGAAAATGCCCTTTCATATATTAACACAAGAAATTAAAAAATGTTAGTAGCCAGACAGGGTGGGTACACTTTTCCTTTTAAAGATGGAGGAGAGGAGAGCACAGCCAGACAGGGCATCCCTGCTGCACCCGCTCTCAGGTGCATGCTCTCTGCCTCCAGCAGACACAGGAAGGAGCTGTGGGAGTTCGTAATATACTTGGGTAACATCCCCCTTTCCGGCTGCTTTTTTGCTGGTAAAGCCAATTGACAGGAATAAACATTTTCCAAAATCCTTGTCAATTATTAGATTCCACGGGATAAAGAACATACAGAATGGACGAGCGGTTTTCAGCTTCTTCACAAGGAGCCAGCCACAGAAACCCTGTTCTCCGACTGCAAAGAGCCGGCCTGGTGAGGCCTGAGCCTGAGGGGCCCATGCAGCTCTGGGCTCTTCCAGCTGCTGCAGGAAGAAAGGAAGGCTGCTGGCTCCAGGTTACAAAGCCTATTCAGAATTTGATGACAAAAGAGGATTTCTTGGCCGTCACAGCATCGGCGCATGGATTTGAGGCCAGGCTCCTCTTGCTCTCAGAGCTGCCTGCTGAGTTCTTGACCAAGTCTTGCAATGAAGAAGCAGAGATGGACCATGACTGGGCACTGCCCTGGGATGTCAAGAACAGAAGGAAGTATCCCCTCCCAAGTGCATGGAAAGAGCCTGCAGAGGACTTCCCACTGGTGGGGGACAAGGAGGCCCAAGCCACCACCTCCTGCTCTGTGTCTCCCAAGAGCTGTCAATCTAAACAGCTCTGCCTCAGGAATCTCACTGCACACAGGTATTTGCTGCGTCCTTCCAGAGCTTAGCATGGCTGCTTCCTATCTGTCACTCGGGACCTAGCTTAAATATCACCTCCTCAGACAGAGAGGCCTCCTGAGACAGATGCCCCCTACAATGAGCCCCTCTGTGGCACCTTGCCCAATCATTCTCTATTGTTTGACAGTTTTATTCTCACCGCAGCACACAGCACTCTCTGAAGTCATATTCTCTCATGCCCTCTAGAATATAAGTGAGGTCCAGGTGAGCCCAGCCCCGGTCGGTCTTACTCGCCACTGATCCCTGGCACCAGGAGCACTGCCTGGCATGTGGCAGGTACTCAACTTTGAGTCAATGAGTGACTGAGTGATTTCCACAACTCATTAGTGTCCTGTGGCTGCTGCAATAAATACCCCAAACTCAGTGGCTCAAAACAGTACATCTATTACCTACTAGCTCTGGAGATCAGAGGCTGAAATAGGTGAGCAAGGCTGCGTTCTTCTGGGGTCTCTAGGCACCTTGCCGCTCCTGGCTTCTGGGGCGAGCCTCACATCCTGGGCTCATGAACCCACGTTACTTTCACCTTCTCCTCTCACTCTCGACCCCCGCTCCCACCTCCCTCTAATAAGGACCCTTGTGATTACATTCAGGCCGCCTGAATCATCCAGGATAACCTGATCTCAAAATCCCTAACTTAATCAGAGCCACCAAATTTCTTTTGTCATGTAACCCCGGCTTCCAGGGGTTAAGATATGGGCATTTTTGGGGGGCCATTACTGTGCCTATCACATGCAGAATAGTCACTTCAAAAAAAAATAAAGGTTCCTCTGAAAACTACAATTTGATGTGTCTGTAAAACAATATTACATAAACAAAGCTACTGTCTAGATTCACTTCTTTCTACACAACTTCAGCAGCTGAAAACAGATTTTGCTAACGACAGAGGTCAGAATTAAAAAGTCAATTCTACCTTTAGAGGCCCTGAAAAAAAAAGCTATTTTCCTAAATGGTTCATGTATTTATTCCATAATTTCCTAGAAATATAAAGTATTGATACTGTTGAAAATTTTTATAAATCTCTCCTGTCTCCTCTAAAGAAGGCGAGAACCTCATCTAAAACGTGGTCTGCCAGAGCTTTCTTACACCAGGCCCTCACGTGTCTGTTCACCTGCTCTTTCCTCTGGATCACTTAAATACAGATTAATTTTACATTCTGATTTCTGAATTCTCTTCACTCAACGGTCAATAAAGTATACTTTAAAAAACTATTTTTATAGCTTTCACTTTTCTACATGCCTATATGAAAGATGGGATAATCTTAAGATAGGATATTAAATAAAAAAACAATCATTTATAAGAGTGTGGATTAAAGCTGTGAATCTATACTGAGTCAATAAGGCCTCTAGAAAGAGAGGATCAGGCGGCCCAGAGCTGCCTAAGCACTGTGCTAAATAGTCACAGGCCTCCTGAAATAACAGTCCAAAGGTAAGTGTTATGAGGGAAAAAGACACGAGGTGCCAAGGTCGTAAGTCTGAGGAGGGAGGGCTCCGCAGTCCCACACGTGGCGCGTTAATACGCAAACACGCGTTCCCAATGTCCAAAACAGATCTGGCGTGCAGCTTCTAAAGACTGCTCTTCCAACTATGGTCCATTTACACAATGGAGTATTACTCAGCTATGAAGAAGGAAATAGTACCATTTGAAACAATATGGATGGAACTAGAGAACATTATGCTAAGTGAAATAAGTCAGTCAGAGAAAGGCAAATACCATATGATCTCACTTATACGTGGAATCTAAAAAACTGAATAAATGAGAAATGTAAACAGAAATAGTCTCAG